ATTAAAGTAAAAAAAATTGAAAAGCATAGTTGAACCGTATGAATAAACAGTGCTAAAGAAACTAAAAAAAAAAAAAAACAGGGGGAAAGAAATGCAAAGAAAAGACTTCCACCTTCTTCTGTTTTTTGATCTCATCGACAGTTGACAATTGACAGTGTCTGCATAATGTCAAGCACAATAATTTAGAACATGCGAGAGAGAAAGGAGAAGAAACCCAGAAATTTTTAGGTGCATAGAAAATAATTAGAATATTTTCGCTCAAGCTCGAAAATATTTTTATTATTGTTAATTTTTTTTTTGCCTCTCTCTCTCTCTCATGGAATATTATCTTTTGTTGAGAAAGCATTGGCAATTATTATTTTTATCACTATAAATTTTTTTAAAGAAAAGCTTGGACTGTTATTAAATCCTGACTTTAAATTAACATATTTGTTTTTATCAAAAATAATTTTTTTTAAAAAAAAAACTATTAACAGGTATTTTAATATAATTTTTTTAAAATCAATTATAATTACACTCTCAAACAACTTCTATATGTAAGTTCAACTGAAATAATTAAGACATGGTGCAATGGACCGACTTATCATCATCATTTCCGTTTTACAATTTTCTGTTCATGTTGTTAGTATTATCCTTTTACATACAGTATATTATCAATTGTTGATAGTGTTATTGTTAATTTAACAACTCCAAAATGTGGCCTGCCTGCCTCTGAATACATACAACAAATTTATTAAAAGCACAGAGCAAAATTATTCATGTTTTACAAAGCATCAATATAAAAGAAATGGTTTTAGATAAATAAATTTAATGAGCTAGAAATATTTTCATAACACTTCAAGTGGTTGGAATTTTTCAAAAAATATAATTAGAAACAGAATTTCAAACAAATAAAAATAATTTTATCAATTCTATAACCGATAAATTCAATAAAATAACTAACTCATAAAAAAAATTTAATTATTGAGAGTTATTTAAGTAAAACATGAATCACTAGGATAAACTAGATTAACTTTTTTTAGATAGTATAATTTATTTATTTTTTAAAAAAATTTAATGTTAATCAGATCAATTTTGAACCGGGCTATCCACGGTCGAGCAAATTATTAAAAATATGATTAGATGAGCCGGGATTTATCAAGTAAATGTCTAATTTAATTGAATTATAAATCAGATAGATACGGGTCAAGCTCAGATTCCTTACTTTTCTAGAAGAACCTACGCATGTTTGTTTTTTTCACAACGTTAATTACGTCCGAGACCTGTCAACAGATCGGTGCAGAGAACATGGTCAGCAGTACTAATTTAATAAGCACAGAAGCTGCCAAAGATTTCTCCCAGCCAGCTAATTAACTAGATCCGATCCGATCCGATCCACATCTTCATTTTTCGTTTTCACATTGCAGCAAGCCCCACAGCTTATCAGACATACAATAACCAGGGCAGATTATCACTTCTGCAGTTGCACAGCCAAGTGTATCGGAATAGCTCAAGCTTCTTGTCCGAAGCCTGCTGGCAACTTGGGGGGGAATTTTTAAAATTTTATATTTTCTAACATGGTAATATTAAAAATAAATTTTAAAAATAAAATATATTTTTTAAAAATAAAAAATAATTTGAAAATTCACCGATTATTCAAGCTCGTGGACTGTCAATCAGATGGTATTTTATTCACCACCGGGAATCACCAATCCAGTTTCTTAACGTGCACACCAAAACAAGGGTAGATTATAATTTAATTACGTAAGTTACTGATTAATTAATTAATCTTTGTTTAATAAAAACAATTGAATAATCCATTATTCAGTGCTAACCACTCCCAGTTTAATGTCATTTCAAGAGTTGTTCTAGATTTTGTGTGTCCAGCATCCCAATTTATGGTGTGTATTTTTAAAATATTTTTTTGAATTGAAATACATTAAAAAATATTTTCAGAATTTCTTTTTTAATTTTGACACCAACAAGATAAAATTATCAAAAAATATATATATAAAAAAAACATCAGTTTTATTATCAATAAATTTTGGTAATAACTTATTTCACATGTCAGAGATAGAATTGTAAATTATAAAATAATTTATATACATGATATTTATTACTGGTGAACATATCATTTTTGCATGCATACAATACTGTATAAAAAAAGCTGCATATATTTACCAGAATTAAAACTTTTTTCTAAAAACCGAGGATAATCATAATCGACTAGATTTGTTCAGCCTTCTTACAAACTATCTGTGACAATACTATTTATGAATTATAATAATATTAAAATAGTATCTATCAATCAATTTCTCAAGGTGACAGTAGAGTGCAAGAAACACGGTGCACCCATCTTTGTCAATGCCCTTGTTTTTTTACTTTCTTCGTGACACCGGAGGAGAATGTCAATTTTGCCGTTAAAAGCGCTTCCTTGTCTCTGAAGTTTCTAAAACCCGATTTTTTTTTATTATAAGTATTTAAATTAATTTATATGTATTTTAATTAATTTTTTATAATTTTATAATTAATTATTATATAATTTTTTTATGATCATCAGTAGCACTTAAAATGATAATTTTTTTAAAAAATATATCTATTATATGATTAGTTGAGTTATACATTTTAAAATTACAAAAAAAACCCAATCAACTCTTAATGTGAGTCGTGTTTGTGTTTGATAATATAGTAAGTTGTTTTACCTAGTATTTTTTATTTTTAAAAATAATATATCAAAACAATATAAAAGTATATTTTTATAAAAGAGACGATTTACTTACTTGGTAGCAGGATTCCACAACGTGGAGTGAGTTGGACATCTCCCGGCACGGCTCTCGCTCGACAAAAATCATTGCCAAATTTCAAAAATCAAAGGGCAATATTATATATTTTTTTATAAAAGAGACGGTTAATTAGAGCTGTATTCAAATACAGAAGTGCAAGTTAGGCAGCTGGGTAGGTCTGGACAAATGCACAGGGGGGAGGTGTCGTCTTCTTTCCCAGAAGAAGTGCATGTAAAAAGTAAGTAAATCGCCATCATGCAGGTCTAGGAAAAGAAAACTGAACTTTAACTTTATATTGATAGATCTGTGACAACCAATCCTCTCCAGGGAGAGGTTGTTCTTCATGAGACTTCCATTGATTTTTTTTTCCAGCCCCATGGATCTGAACCACATGCAGCTCCTCTTAGTTAATGATGCTGCTGGGTGGTATGGCCCGTGAACGTTACCTTACGTTCTTCTTTCTTTCTTTTTATTTATTAGGTTGATATAAATATCTTTTTATAAGTATATGTATATGATGATTACTATTAGAATGGATAAATTAGGCTTAATATTCTTTTTAACAACGAATTAGTATAATTATTAATTACATTGGATATGATATATCTATTTGACGGTGTGGTAGCTTTTAGTTTTAGAATTTTTTTAAAAATCTACTTATTTTTTAAAAAATACCAAATTAATTTTTTAGTGTTTACAATAATTTTGATATAATGATATAAAATTTTATTTGATATATTTCTAGTAAAAATACATATTTAAAAAATATTATCTACCACAATACTGAACAGATATAAAATACTAACTTTAAACAACTTTTATATAAAATGTAAATAAATTCAATTCAAAATAATTACGAAGAATTGAAATATTGAATCCAAATAAAAAAAATGATAAAAAATATTTTTTTTCTTATGATTTTTTTTGTTTTTTTGGCTAACAAAATGGAAGGAAATTTACACCAAATATATGCCAAATAAATGTGTATGCTTTTTTTTTTTATGACAAGAATATCTAAACACAATGGAATCCTTTTTCTAGTAGGGCTAAATTCAAAGATTACAACAAATTAATTCTCTCTTGTCTATTCTAATTAATTCAATGGTGCAGTGGGTGTTTGACATTGAGATTAAATTTATTTTTATTAATTTTTTTTTAAAAATTAGTTTTTATAAACTATTTTAATATACTAATATTAAAAATAATTTTTTTTTTAAATAATAATATATTTAAAAAATATATTTTAAAAAATAACTTGTATCACACCATATTAAGCCCCGAGGCATGAAGGACACCTCTTTTCCTTAATTCAAGCAATCAATAAAAAAAATCAGACCTTTGTAACGTCTTCTCCATTCCATCCCTTTCGTTATATTCATTAATAACAATAATAATATGCCCAAAACACATTAAAGATGCATTCATTGTGAATTAATAATCATGCCAGATATATGATTAAGAAGAATGCAGTCCACAACCTCCCTTCAAGAATGCGATAGGGCAATAATCTGCAGTGTTTACTGTACACAAGAAGAAATTAATTACATGCCGGCTTCCATGCTTGCTTCTCCTCTGTACAACATAATACAGGGAGATGAACTGGGTTGAAGTGAGATTTTAATGTATTTATATGATAGAATAATTTCATGGTTTAGGATTAATGTATTTAAGTGATAAAATAATTGCACTAAGTTTCAAGTTCAACAGAAAAAAATATTGATGTAATAAAACCTGGTCGATTTAGTTGGTTTTTTGATGATTCAACCAACTTGTCTAACTTCAATTACATTAATTTTAAATGATAAAAAAAAAAATATTTTGATAAATTAATTGAATTAAGTAGGGTGATCTTTGAGTTTACAAAGCAATCCTAGTTTTTTCTTTCCAAAATATTATCTATTTGGTTATGATACCTGCTATATTAACTACTAATAAATATACTAGCATGGTAATCAACATATTAATCCAACAATAGATTTTTAATTAATAATAACGTGAAATATATAAAATTATCGCAACCACTTGGCTGAATACACACATAATGATGTATCAAACTACAAGCCATATAGTCTAGGTCAGCGGGAGAACTTGCACGGTTTTAGTATTATGGAAAAATAAGCGGTCTAAATAATCAAACATGGAAAAAATCCAAAACGGCAATAATGTTGGCATCAAATGCGGGAAAATAAAAACTAGCGTAAAAAAGTAATATAAATAGAAGGTGCTAAGAAAATTAAATCAGTTTTAAACAGTTTAGTCCGTTGGTGTTTCTCAGTTGTCCCGCACCATCCGTCTCTCTCTCCCCCTCTCTCTCTTTTAAACTCCATTTTTCTCTCTTATAGAGCTGTCTATATTCTTTATCGCTCTCTTGCTTCTCTTTATTTAGATTTTTGTTTTTTCATTATCTGCTGTGCCGAGGTTTGTTTTTAGTCGCAGGAGGAGCTTGCTTGGGTTCCATTTTGAGAAAATTCGAAGGAGAGATTGATTTCTTTTCATTTCTCTCTTCGAGCTCTCTCTCTGCTTTAAATTTGAAGGTATCCGAGTGTTAAATTACTTTCTTTTTTTATTTTTTAACTACAAATTTCATAGCATTTTTGTTGTCGTTTAGTTTTGTTTTATTTTGTACTTTTTTTTTTCAAAACTGAGAATATGGCATTTTTGTTTTAGTTTAATTTTTCTTTATTTTGTACTCTTTTTTTTTTCCAAGATTGAGAATTTTTTACAAGTTTTTGTGAAGTGAGGGGGAATTGGTGATGAAATGAGCTTGGTTTCATGGTTTAGAAGATCAGAAATTGATGGTAAGAAGGTTAGATTTGAGGGATTTGAATTGGTAATGAAACGAGCTTACTTTAAAGTTTTTATGGATTGGAATCTGATCTTTTATGCTTCATTTGAATGGTTGGAAGCTTAAATATGATTTACATAAAAGGTTTTCTTTTTTTAATGCATTTTCTCAGATACTTAACGTAACATTGTTGTTATTATTATTCTTGTCCTTGTGTTGTTGCTTTTGTAATTAAATGAGTTTAATCTAATACTTTCTTGATCAAAATCTGATCTTTGTTTTTGCTGTTTTGAATGCAGGGATCACACAGCTTATAGAAATCGCCCCAGCTTTTGTCATTAATTTTTTTGTTGGATTCTGAGTTTTCGGAAGGGAATATATAAATTCTCATATTGATTTGTTTAATTGGGTGAAAAAAGTACTACGGGTGTTTGTTTACAATGGAATCTTACATGAGTTCAATTGGTTCGAAATTGCAAATGTTGACCACATCTGATCATGCTTCTGTGGTCTCTATGAACTTGTTTGTCGCGCTTCTTTGCGCTTGTATTGTTATTGGTCATCTTCTAGAGGAGAATCGGTGGATGAACGAGTCAATCACTGCCCTTATAATTGTGAGTTTCTCTCTTTGAGAACTTCTGAATCCATTTTGTGTTATTGCTTATACTTGAAATGAGACTGACACGTTAGTTTAAATGTTTTCGTTTTCTTTTTGTGTATGGTTATTGGTTTCCATGATTTGGGATACGAGTTAGTTGCTTATAAAAGAAAAGGAGAAAAGAAAAGAAGTTTTGGTGCAAGCTATATCTTTTGTGTGTTCCTTTTATCTATGACTTGAAGTATGCCTGATATTGTGTGTTTGATGTTTTGTGGATTGGTGGCAGGGTCTATGTACTGGGGTTGTTATCTTGCTGATTAGTGGAGGAAAAAGTTCGCATCTTTTAGTCTTTAGCGAGGATCTTTTCTTTATATATCTTCTCCCACCTATCATATTTAATGCGGGGTATGTTTATGTTCCATTAAATCTCAATGGAGTTGCCTTAAATAATCAATGCTCTTTTAGCAGACCAAAGCTGATGTTCTTTGGTTTTGTCTTGAACCTTACTCTTGTAGTTTTATATCATGCTATTCTGGTTACAAGATGGGTACTGTCCATCTTATCTCTTGATTGAAAAATTGTTCATTATTTGACTTTTGTTAATTGATACGTTTGGATTTCTTCTGGCTCGTCTTATTCTTGCCTAGATTTAATGTTTGATATATATACCTTTTCTCATCTTTTTGATTACCAGGTTTCAGGTTAAAAAGAAGCAATTCTTCCGTAATTTCATGACTATAATGCTATTTGGTGCAGTTGGTACATTAATAAGCTGTTTTATCATATCTGTAGGTACGGACAGAAACTCCAGACCTGCTGTTATTTATTTATTTACCTGTAATGCTCTCTTATTTTATGGAGGTAAAACACCAGACCTAAATTTAGAGGATTTTTTTTGTGCAAAGGTTGCCACAGTGCTTATTTTATAATGGAAAATGCATGGATGGTTGGGCGAGATTTGCTTCCCTATGTTTGCTTGTATCCTCGTTGATGGTTCTAAATCATTCCTTTGTTTCACCAGTCAATTTTAACCTTTGCCATCAACCATGATCTTTCAAAAGACAGGAAAATATATTGCTAGTCCCTGTATTATAAGAATGCCTTCGACACTCAAAACTGCCCAGTGTTCATGCAGAGATTGTTTATGGGTTTCAATCTAAAAGTATAACTAAAAGATGGAATAACATTCTTTTCCCTTTTTGAATGGGGATATAAATTGAAATCGCAGTAGAAAAGGGAATTATAATCTATGCCTTGTCGGCATACTCCTTGCTGACATTGAAATAACTACATTTCAGTTGTTCTGTGATAACCATAGATGAATTTGGTACTGATTGTTATTTTAATCTGGCAGGTGCTATGCAATTCTTTAAGAAATTAGACATCGGTCCACTAGATATAGGGGATTATCTAGGTAACACCTTCATGGATCCCATTTATTTCAGTGCCTTTACTTGAATTTTTTTCTGGGGATCTTACCTTGTTGTTTTACCATTTTCAGCAATTGGTGCCATATTTGCTGCAACAGATTCTGTTTGCACATTGCAGGTGTGGTGCATATCAAAGTAATAAAGATATCTCAATTTTGAAACAAATGATACATGTATACTTGTATACTGAAATTGTTTTGTTTGGTGGTGCAGGTGCTTAATCAGGATGAGACGCCTTTACTCTATAGTCTGGTTTTCGGGGAGGGTGTCGTAAATGATGCCACATCAGTGGTGCTTTTCAATGCAATCCAGAGCTTTGATCTAACTAATATCAATGCCGCAACTGCTTGGGATTTTGTTCGCAACTTTTTTTATTTATTTCTTGCAAGCACTTTGCTAGGGGTGATAGTAAGTCTCCTCTCCCTCATTTTCCTTTCTGCCTCCCCCACTCACTCTCTTACACGCACACAGACTATCACAAATCTGTATAGCTGCAAGCAATATATTAAGAAATGTGAATGGTTCGTTTCTTGCAGACTGGACTAATTAGTGCTTACATCATCAGAAGGCTCTATTTTGGCAGGTATAACATGGTCCAAAAGTTTTCCAAGTGTTTTTTAGTTCTTGCGTAACTGTAATCTATCATTACAATAGTCAAATTTTTTTTCATCAAAACCAAAATGAATTCTCTGGCTGGAAAGTTGCCTTGTTATGACTATATATCAGGCAGATAGGATTGAGTTAGTAAGTCAAGAATAAGACATTGATGCCCATTCCGTACAAATTTTGAAAACTTGAGGGCTATCATGGATGTATTTATGTCTTGGTATGCATAAATCCTCCCATGTGTGTATGTTCTTTTGGATTGAACCACTTGTATCTGTGAAGATATGCTCGTTATGGCAGTCTAAATATGAGATACCTCTCATTTCCTCCATCGTTTCTAGTTCCTGTACCTGTGATCTAACTAGTTTTGAGCACCACAATTTTTATCTTTTTTTTTTGGTTCATTTCTTGAACATTTTATTTTGTGGTTTTTTGTACATAGTTGATATAACTAGTTACTCCTACCACTTATTTGGTTGATGTCTTGAATCAGAATTCACTGTAATTACAGTTTTTTTTCCTGCTCACGAGCACTTCAATTCAATATAAACATAAAAACTCTGTTCATGTATTAATTTGATTAAACATGTTATTAGCATAACTTAGTTTTGATTAAACATAATTGTTATTTTGAATCTTAAGTATTGAGAAAAAGCTATAATATGCAGAATGAAAATTCTGTGAATGGTGGACTGAATACCTTATATGATTCAGGCACTCAACAGATCGTGAGGTTGCTCTAATGATGCTCATGGCATACCTTTCCTATATGCTGGCTGAAGTAAGATTCATAACTGTCCTGGATGCTGTCTTTTGTTCTGTTGTAATGCTTTGTGCCCTTCGTTTTTAATTTTTGTTGATTATCTAAATGATGTTTGGTTCCATGCAGCTGTTCTATTTGAGTGGCATTCTCACAGTATTTTTCTGTGGGATTGTGATGTCCCATTACACATGGCATAATGTGACCGAGAGTTCAAGAGTCACTACCAAGTATGTCTCATCCAAATTCTTGTCTTGTGATGTATTAGGAAGCGATCATTTTCTTAATGCTCAAAATTCAATCCAAATTATTGCAGGCATGCTTTTGCAACCTTGTCATTTGTTGCTGAGACTTTTATCTTCCTTTATGTTGGTATGGATGCCCTGGACATTGAGAAGTGGAGATTCGTAAGTCATAGGTATGTTTTCATCTGTTTTTGTGTCTCATTGATGCGTTCAACCTCATCCCTCTTGGAAATTCTTTCAGTACTTCACTTAAATTGGGTTTTTTAACTGCTGTGTTGAAACCCCCTTCTCTTTATTGGTCCTTATGTCTGGCATTTGACTTGGTCACTTTTTTACAGCCCTGGGACTTCAGTTGCTGTGAGTTCGATACTACTATGTCTCGTCATGGTTGGAAGAGCAGCATTTGTTTTCCCCTTGTCCTTTTTGTCCAACTTAGCTAAGAAATCACCTAATGAGAAGATAAGCTTCAAGCAGCAAGTACTTAATTATTCTTATTGTTATTATTTTTTGTTCTGTAATATTATTAGTTCCTTATCTATTAATCGATTGATCTATCTGGTAACATAAAGCATTTATTCCTTTTTAGTTTATCATATGGTGGGCTGGTTTGATGAGAGGTGCTGTGTCAATGGCACTTGCATACAATAAGGTATCGTGTGACAATTGATGATATTGATTGTTCTATATAGATTGATCGTATATATCATTGCATTCATTAACTTTTTTATCCTAAATAAATGCAGTTCACAAGTGCGGGGCACACCCATCTACGAGGAAATGCAATAATGATCACTAGCACCATAACTGTTGTTCTTTTCAGCACGGTGGTAAGTGATTTCCCTCCAGCTAGTTTTGAGTTGTGAATAGCAGAGCAAATTGTGTAGGCTTGATGCAATTATCTTCAGAAAACCTTAGAAATTTCTTTCACCACCTTGATATTTTCTATCCCTGGCAGCTTCTTTTTCCTTCTTAACTTACCATAAATTTATAATTCGAACTAGTTTTTCGACTTTATCATCTGTGATGTCTCTTTTCCTTCAAAGAAAACACGGTTTTTTGGTGAATTAAAATATCTGCAACTGGCAATATTAGTTTGTTTTAGCATCCATATGTGATAACTTGTTTGCTTTCTCTGCAAATTCTTTGAGATGCTGTTCATTGTGCTAACAATTCTTCTCCATGCTTGGCCTGCACAGTTGTTTGGTTTGATGACTAAACCTTTTATAAAAATTTTGCTGCCTAATCCAAAACACCAATCAAGAAGCATGACAATTTCGTCAGATCCAACTACTCCAAAATCATTTACAATACCACTTCTTGGAGAGGGGCAGGACTCGTTAGATGATCTAGGTGGCCATGACATTGATCATCGAAGCAGCATACGCGCACTCTTGACCACCCCAACACACACTGTTCATCACTACTGGCGCAAATTCGATGATGCCTTCATGCGTCCTATGTTTGGTGGCCGGGGTTTTGTTCCCTTCGTTCCTGGCTCACCGACAGAGCGCAATCCTCCGAATCAATGGCAATGAAAAAGAAAGCCATCCAAGATGTACAAAAGATGTAAAGTTGTAAGCATTACAAAGACAATGAAGCGCTGCACGTCTTTGAACCTACCGCTGAAAATTTTGACAAGATTTTGGCATTCCTGTTCAGAAGCAGTGTATCTTATTTTGTAATTAGCTATTATACGTTAGCTGTCAGATTAGGTTTGCCTATTCATTTTTCTTATTACCTTCTTCTTTTTGTGATACTGAGAGCTCAAAATTATCTGTCATTTCTATTGCCTTTATATTTTATTTTATTTTGGTTTTTTGTATTGTATCATTGCTCGTTTTTCTTCTTTTAAGTCTTGAGAATGATCTATTTGTATTGCTCTTGTTTTATCTCAAGTTGGAATTTAATTTCTCTTAATCTCTTCACTTTTAGCAGGAATTTAGGGCTTTATTTTGGAATTATTGACCTATCTGCATTCAAGCTTGTGCAAAGTTATTAAAACCCCATAGTTATTTTGGTATTGTGGCAGGGAATGTTTGAGAGTGTAATAATATTTAGTATTGTGGTAGGGAATGTTTGAGAGTGTAATAATATTTATTTTTTAAAGTGATTTTTATTTGAAAATATATCAAAATAATAGTTTTTTTAAAATTATTTTTTATTTTAATATATCAAAATGATCTATAAACATAAAAAAATATTAATTTGAATCAAATAAAAAAATAAAAATAAAAAAAACACAGGGTTTTACATGTTAGACATATTAAGTTTTAAAATAATATTATTTTAAGATACATGTTAAGTTTTAAAATAATATTATTTTAAGATTTATTTTTTAAAAAAATTAAACCAGGTGTTAACCTTCATCCAAGTTTTAACTTTCTTCTTGTACTCTCAAATTAATAAAAACAATTTAAGCCAGGTGTAAACCTTCATCCAAGTTTTTGATCATGTTAACTTAACTTTCTTCTTGTACTCTCAAATTAATTTTAAAAAACTAGGTGCAGATGAGTTTAATAATGTTTTTTTTCTTACATTCCCAAATTAAGCTTGTGCATGTATAATTCAACTGTAGAATCGCAATTTAAAGCCATGGCATTGTCAATCTAATCTTCAATTTTCATTTTATTTTTTAATTACGATTATTGGAACTAATTTTCACATTTTAAAATTCATGTCCCGGAGAGCCCTCTACGATTAGGGCAACTTGGTCCTCTTCTTCCCAAGGTCGACCAGAACTTGACTCAATGCATCTACAAACCCTAATAATTAAAGGCACAAGACCCGGGATGATTGCCCATGATTCAGATGGGAGCAATGTTGGCTACTTCGGAGAATCTCAGTGTGATATTTTATGGGGGAGTGGCGGAATCATTGGCTCTCTCAGGCAAGGATGGTTCAACTTTCACGTGACGTGCATGGGCCATAAAGGTCTGATTTGACTAGTGCTCCCAAGTCCCAGGTGTCTAACTATCTGAACACTTCAAGTACTAGTTTCCCACGATTAGACGGCGTTAAGAGCTTTAAAAATCATTTTGCAACACAGTTGGAAAAAAGCAGTCATTGATCACATTTATTAATTTAAAATAATATCAATTTTAAAAAGTTTGAAACGCCGTAGTTTTAAAACAAGATTAAGAGAAGAAAAGCGCCAAACTAGATCTCGTATGAGTTTTATATAAACTAATTATATTTATTTAGGTAATTCTTAATTCAATTCAATAAAAAATCGTATCAGGTCTCGAGTTAATAAATTACTAAATTGACTCATCAAATTCTTGAATTTTATAATAATTTTCTTAACTATCCAAGTGTGTGTAATATATTATTCCACCAGAAGGAGGTAATATAAAATATTTGGCCTTTTTGGTTGAAAATAGAGGAGATTATGAATCTTATTAGTCATTTTGCCGTCATTTCTCTTTTTAAGCTAGTTTATCTAAGAAATAAATGGTGTAAATCGAGTAGCATGGAAATGTTGCATATATATATATATATATCCCCTACTAGCTTGCACTCGTAATTACCCTTTTCATCCTTAAATTCCCATCTTTCCATTCACACAGAGCTTAGAATTTGATTTTTCAGCCTAATAGTGTTTTTAGGCTCATGAGTTTTCATCATCGCTAATTTTCAAGATGCAACTAAAAACTAATGTCTTTGTTCGTGGAAATACTATCAATTTTTTATTATTTTTTTTTGTAGTTAGAGGCTATATATATATATATATAAAAAGTTTTACAAGCTCGATTTAAGATTCAAGCAATTTGTGATGTAATATGTTAGATTTGAGTTCGAGATGAATTAGAAGCTAAATTCAACTAATTTCATGGTTTTACTTTAATTTTTTTATTAAGGATATTTCAAGAAATTGCCAATAATTGTCATCTTAGAAGATTTCAAAACTCAAATCTAATTGCCAATAATAGAACTGTGGACTCGAGAAAGAGGTTTCGCTATTTTATATTCAAATTTATTATTATATTTTCTTTATCGTTTCTAATGTATTTTTAATACACAAAATATATACATACACACAACATATAATGTCTACCAGTTTTTAGAACACTGTGAAAATAACTCGGTTTTCTGTATTTATTTTCAATAACAGGTTTTAATTTGAAAATTGGTCAAAGAAAAGGTAATACAACATTATAATCAAACACGCTTCTAAGAAAAATAAAAAACAAAAATAAACCTTAATGATACTAAGTTGTGCCGTGGTTCAATACCAAGGACTATTTTAGTTTTTGGTAGTGAAGTCCCTGTACGTACAAAACCCACAGAGACATCCTAAGTACATCCGTGCTTAAGCCCTCGTACCCTGGAACTATGCTGTCTTGTCTCTCTGTCTCTGTCACTGTTTCTGTCTGGCAAGCATCGAACCTTCTGTAATGACCAAGGCCTTGAGAGAAATTTTAAGAAGTCTTGAATACTCTGTACACGTCAACATTTTCACCGTGGCTAGAAATTTATTTTCTAGCTTTCACAATTCTCTTGGAATTTAATGGTTAAAAGACATGTTGTTGTTTTAATTATTAGAGAACATATTATTTTATCTTACAACGTTTATATATTTTTCTTTTAGGAAGTAAGCTATATATGTTTTTTATAATAAATCTAAATTTTTGTTTTTAGTTTATAATATGCTCTCTTGTTATAAAAATGTTTTAAAAATTAAGAATTTTTAATTTTTATTATCCTAGTTACAGAAAAAAGAGGAATAGTGTTAAATTTAGCAAATTTATCCAACAAGTTAAAAGATAATTTTGCTTCACACATTTTATTTTAAAAAATTCAATTTTAAAAAAAAAAAACTACCTTCCAGATTTTTTTTCATATAAAAAAAATTCAATTTTTTTTTTAAAAACTACCTTCCAGATTTTTTTTCATATCATGATTAATATTTTATTAATTTTGAATTAGTTTTTATAATTTATTATGATTTTTTCTATAAAATTATTACAATTTCTAACAAACATCCAAACATTTTATTTATAATTATTTTTTTATAAATATCTATTTTTTATCGTATTATTGAATAAAAAATAGTGTAAGAAAATAAGTTTTTTTAAAAAATTCAATGAAATCCATGATCCGAGGTTGCATGTTTTGTGAGTTAAACTAAAAAATTTGAATTAATTTAATATACCATCTTTTTAATATAAAAAAAATATCATCTTAGAAGTATTTTAAAACCAAACCAAACTTTTACTAATTATTTGAATTATCTTTAAATCTGCTAATTTGACTAACATAAAATTTGAATTGATTTAATATATCACCTTTTTAATATAAAAAAAAAATGTCATCTTAGAAGTATTTTAAAACCAAACTAAATTTTTACTAATTATTTTAATTATCTTTAAATCTGCTAATTTGACTAATTCATGTGGAGTCAACTTTCTTGTGAGTTAATTTTAAACTCGAGTCATATAAGAAGTTGGGTTTGGAGGTTTTAAGGTTGATGTATTGGTTTCGATTTAATCATGATGCTAATTAGTTTTTTTTTAATTTCATTTTTTTTTCAATTGGATATTTTTTAGGTTTGTTTTTCTTTATCAATTCCATTATTTAATATGTGTTTGATTTTGATTTAGTTATCATAATTTGTTTTAAGTTATTTTCTATGAGATTATCACAATATCAAATAAATTTTATCGTATTTGGTTGATACTCGATTATACGATAATCTATTTTTTTATTATATCCTTTTAAAAAAATAATTTTCTTTAAAAAGTTGTTAACTGATACTCGATTATATGATAAATTATATCCTTTTTAAAAAATAATTTTCTTTAAAAAGTTGTTAAATATAATGAAGTTCATGATCTATATCACGAGTTTAATAAATTAAATTGTGAATCTCAAATTGATCTAATAAATTATTATCTTAATATTAAAAAAATATTATTTAAAAAAATTAAAATTAAATCATATTTTTTATTGATTATTTAAGTTATTTTAGAATTTATTAAATTAACTATATTATATCATAACAATTCTTGTAAGTTTATTTTAAATTAGGATTATACGAAGAGTTAGGTTAGAAAAATTCAAGCTAATATGTTGGGCAACAAATCATTTTTTTTTTAAAAAAAGAAAAATTCAAGTTCCTGGAAGAATTTTCTCATGTGGAAATTGGGGCGGGCCGATTATTTATTAAAGCCGAAATTCCACTATTTCGGCCTTCAAATAGGAAGAAGACGGCGACGTTTATACCATCTGCAGCTTTCACAGGAGGCAAAAGGGACAGCGAGAGTGAGAGAGACCAGCAGCCTCTTAATAAAGCAATCATGATGTTCATGCGGAAAGGCGCTTTAGGAGCTACGGCTTCTTCTTCTGCTATTCGGCTTCTTCTTCAACAACATATGGAAATGGGTACCTTTCCTTTTCCTCTTAATTTCCCTTCTTTCTTATTCTTCAATCATCACCACATCACCACTTCTGCTTGTACTGAGAAACCTTCTTTGCCTCAAAACAATTGTGGTTTTGGTAGTAATACTAGCAATGACATTAGTATTGATGATGCCTTGACTTCATTCTATCGCATGGTCCGCATGAATCCTAGGCCCTCTATTGTGGAATTTGGCAAATTCTTAGGGTCCATTGCCAAAAAGAAACAGTTTTCCTCTGCTGTCTCTTTGTGCAATCAAATGGATTTGTTTGGGGTTACCCATAATGTTTATTCTTTAAATGTATTGATTAACTGCCTTTGTCGCTTGAGCCATGTTGATTTTGCTGTCTCTGTCATGGGTAAGATGCTCAAACTAGGTATTCAACCTGATGCTATCACATTCAATACACTCATAAATGGGCTCTGCAATGAGGGGAAGATTAAAGAGGCAGTAGGATTGTTTAATGAGATGCTATGGAGTGGGAATGAGCCCAATGTAATTAGCTATAATACTGTAATCAATGGTTTGTGCAAAACTGGCAACACAATTATGGCTGTTCGCGTGTTCAGGAAGATGGAGCAAAATGGCGGTACACCAAATGTGGTGACATATAATACAATCATAGACAGCCTTTGCAAAGATAGGCTAGTCAATGAGGCCATGGAATTCTTATCTGAAATGGTTGATCGGGGCATTCCACCAGATGTTGTTACTTACAACACGATACTCCATGGTTTCTGCAGTTTAGGACAGTTAAATGAAGCAACTAGACTGTTCAAAGAAATGGTTGGTAGGAATGTTATGCCAGATAGTGTGACCTTTAATATTTTGGTTGATGGACTCTGCAAAGAAGGGATGGTTTCAGAAGCTCGGCGTGTCTCTGAAGCGATGACCGAAAAAGGTGCTGAGCCAAATGCTTACACCTACAATGCCTTGATGGATGGGTATTGTTTACACAACCAAATGGATGAGGCCATAAAAGTGCTTGGCATCATGATTGGCAAGGGCTGTGCTCCTAATTTAAGCAGTTACAACATCTTGATCAATGGATATTGCAAAAGTAGAAGGATGAATGAGGCAAAAAGATTGCTTTCTGAAATGTCTGAAAAAAATTTGACTCCTGACACTGTCACTTACAGCACTCTTATGCAAGGTCTGTGCCAGGCAGGGAGACCTCAGGAAGCTTTAAATCTTTTCAAGGAGATGTGTTCTTCTGGCCTGCTTCCAGATTTGATGGCTTACTCGATTTTGCTAGATGGCTTCTGCAAACATGGACATCTGGATGAGGCATTAAAATTGCTCAAGGAAATGCATGAGAGGAGAATAAAACCTAATATCATCCTTTATACAATTCTTATTCGAGGCATGTTTATTGCTGGGAAGCTTGAAATTGCAAAGGAACTATTTTCCAAGCTTTCTGCAGATGGAATACGACCTGATATATGGACATACAATGTCATGATCAAGGGACTTCTTAAGGAAGGGCTGTCAGATGAAGCATACGAATTGTTTAGAAAAATGGAAGATGATGGATTCTTGCCAGATAGTTGCTCTTACAATGTCATCATTCAAGGATTTCTTCAAAATCAGGACTCATCAACAGCTATACAACTTATTGATGAAATGGTTGGTAAAAGATTCTCAGCAGATTCATCTACATTTCAGATGTTATTGGATTTGGAATCGCATGATGAAATCATAAGCCGTTTTATGCGTGGAAGCTCTCAACATACAAAAATGAAGTGATTTTTCTTATCAAATGCTGTTGTAGGCCGCTGTGCTATTGTGGGTCATCAACATTAGTGCTTGGTTTGCAACACCTCGTAGTGACTTTTTTGTGACTTGTTTTGTCTCTAAGCTCACGATCTAATTTTGTGTGATACGAATGTATGTTTATAATTGACATATTGTATTATGACCAGTCTTACTTCCCTTGGTGCTATATATTTTGTAACTTAATCTAGGTATTTTAGATTTTGAATTTGTACCTATTGTTTTTTGACATGTACTAATCCTAATGGAGGAATGGGTTAGAAATGTGAACTTGATGGTTCTCATGATCTTGTGCAATTAGCCAAGTCTTATTGGAGCTGATTCGGATGGTGTTGTTTATAAGGCTTGTAATCTTGCTTTAGGTAGAATAGCTTAGCTCGTCTATGTAGAGAATTTAAAGATTTCAAAAACACACAGCATTGGCAGGAATGGACCTTTATGATACTGGTATGGGAGTTTTTTTGTCCTGGAAATTTGGAATGAAGAATCTAGAGACTGGATTTTTCGTTTATGGTCCTCCGAGCTGTGGTAAAACCCTAATTGCACTAGTGAAGCGGGAGCTACTTTCGTTCAATGCAAGTCCTTGTCCTGCTATCCAGTTTCTGCACTACAGTGAGTACATGCTATATTCAAATCCCTTGATTGCTTATCACGAGTTCATGTTGGAGAAGTTAGGACCAGAACCCTTTAATTGCAACAGCTTTTGAGTTGGATCAGCGGCGGCTTTATGCTTGTGAATGGTGCTTGTAACAAGTAGCATGCAACTCGTTCTGTTCTCTGTCTTCATGTCTCTCAAGTAGTCAAGTTGATGTCTCCGGTGGCAGGCAAGGGGGGGAGGGGGGGGGGGCGGGCACATACTGTATTTGGAAACATCTAGAGATTCTATTTCGTATGAATTTTACAAGTTACTTGTTGTTTTTAAAACTTCTGAATCAAAATTTTGATCTCGATTTGAAATTTCTAGCTCGAGAATTCTAACTTGGTCTCAGTACATAAGAAAAACAACCATCCTTAAAAGCTTCTACTGTGGAAAAGCAATCCAGTCCATTTTTCTGTGTTCTCTTTCTTCCTCCTTGATATATCATTTGGGAATTGAAAGGTAAATTGTTTTATAGTTGAAAAGGGTGATGAATCAAATTAATTAGAGTGTATTCAGTAGACTACTGCCAAGCTAAATTCGTACCCTAACAAAGCAATAAAGGTGAAAACGAAACAAAAAACAAAACAAAACAAACAAACAAAAGCAGTAGAGAGGAGTTGTTTGCATCAAACGTCTATTTCTTGGAAGTCACCTAAGAGCAATACGATGTTTGTGTTCTTTCTTATTGGTCATACATACAAGATATCTCTCTCTCTACATTCCATTGTTGTGTTCATTCTGTGTATACATGCAACACACCGACAATCCGGAAGTCAATCCCTCCAAAAAGGGGCAGAAGGGAAAAAAAGGTAAGAAATCTTAGACAAACATATATGGCCCCCAGCTATTTCCTTGCATCATTTATATCAATAATTGCTTTTCTCCTTTTTAAGTTCTACCTATGAACAAACCTTTAACTGTGTAAAAGATATCCAAGCTCGATACTGATGAGTGCAATCATAACAACAAATAGAAGAGGGAACCCCACGTACACTCTTTTTACACTTGTCCTGCCTCTCAAAAAATCCTGCCGATGAAAGGAAAAAATCGGTCAAAGATATAAAGTTCATTTAAGAATAGAGGCATGACATTGAATATTTGCACAGGTTAGCACAAAGAGGACAGACGAGAGGCTTGCACGTTCGCATTAGATAGAGAAGCCAATTTTGGGAGCTTACGAGTTCTTCTTGCAAGATTTTCCTTTCTTGACTGCTTTGTCTCTTCTCCTCTGTTAACTTTGAAATAGTAGACTCGGTCTGCACAGGAAGTACAAGTCACCCTATTAAATGTTATATTTAAGTAAATCATTATGAATGTCCAAAAACACCTATCCTTTAAAATGGGCCCTTGCCATGATAGAGAATAGGACCACTAGTCAAAGCCAGAGACTAATGTATTACAGGGTCATGAATATGTAGGATTATTATCAATAAAAGCAGAGCCCCCGTGTTTGGACCAGAAAGATTCTGAGAAAGGCTAACCTCGTTCAGCTTTGATTCAAGTACGTGCAATTTTGATTTCATCTCATCAATATCACTGGCCAACTTCAGCTCCATTGCATTCGCTGTTATGATTTCCTCATTCAGTGAAGGGGACTCCATATCCGGTGCTGGCTTTGAGTGCTCATTGCTAATGGCATCCTTATCTTGCTTCAACTCTTCGTCCTGTGCCAGCTTTAACTCCTTCTCATTGACCATGTTAATAACTGGTACTCGATCTGTGTCATCTGACAGCTTAGACTCCTGACCATGAATCACGTCCTTCTCTGGCTTCAACTCTACATCCTCAGATGTATTGCTCTCATGACCGTTGGTCATTTTGAATTCAGCATCCTTGGCAACCTAATACCAATATAGAGAACCACTATTAGGTACTCAAAAACAAAACTTGAGAAAAAATGGAAGAATACTACTTGCAGAACATCAAATTGAAACTATGGACATGAAAGTTGAGTCCTACAAAACTAAGCATTACCAAAATTATAAAATCAGAAGAAACTTTCTTACTGTTTGCAGTGGGGTGATAATTTCAACCCTATTCAGCACAGGATCTTTCAGTACCGAAGGTTCTAAAAAAGGCCCCTGCTTCTGATAAAAAAGAAAAGGAAAAAAGAAAACCTGAGAAAAAATGGAAGAATACTGCTTGTGGAACATGAAAATGACAACTTTGGACATTAAAGTTTAATCCTCCAAAACTAAGCATTACCAATATTTTAAGAAAATTTCTTACCATTTGCGGTGGGTTGAGAATTTCAACTCTATTGAGCACAGAATCTTTCAGTACAGAAGGTTCAAAAATAGGCCCCTGCTTAAACACTCCATTAATTGGAGTCGGTACAAATGATTCAGGTGAGCTGATGAGAGCCACTCTCATCTTGACCTCTTCAATATGCTTGTTATCATTTTTGGCAAACTGCAGATAAAAGAACAATAATCATAAGAACTAAACCAGAGATTCAAAGTAAAAAGTAAAACTTCAAAGACACTTACCGTACTAGATGTGATTTCCTTCTCAGTTGTCCCAACAGGAACAACTGTGCTTTGGATTAAAAACTTGTCTTTGCACACCATATCAGGAGGAGCCTCCTTCTGAGATTGCATTGTGACTGCATGGCATTCAACACCATAGCTAAGGGGATTTAGAAAGAGACTATAACAGGAAAAAATATAACATCTACTTAAAAAAACATACTGCACAGTTCAGAAAGAGGAAGGAGCACATGACATATGGAAGTTAGAGGAGGAAAACAATGAGACAGCAACAATAAGCGCACACACTATTACCAAAAGCAGTTTCATTAACCTCCTTTCATATGTTTTGCAACTCAAGCATTATAGGAGCTTAATTACTGCCCTTGGTCTCATAGCTTCCAAGTCAAATTACCTCCAAAACTCATCTTTTGAAATAAAAAATTAAGTCCAGACTGGAGCAGTATGCAAAGATGCAAATTCTTAGGTAGGTTCCATGTCATATAAACCAGATCAAAACCAAAATATATCCAATAGCATGTCCAATTTTGCTCCATTGTCCCCCACTTCCACACACACCCTTCATTCTCTCTAAAAGTAAATTCACTAAAATAATGTCCGTTATTGAATTGCATCAAAGAAGAAATCAACAAGAAAAAAAAAACACAACAGCAGAAGTCAGATAATAACTACAAGAGTCCTGAAGGTAGCCAGTACAAATTACATGGCACTTACAGCTTCAACTCAAGAACACTCAATGTAATAGAGAGCCTAGCATGTGGGCATGCACAACTCATGTGTCCAATATTTCACAAGGATGTATGTTCAATTAACTCATAAAAAGAAAGAAACAGATACCAATAAATTCACAAGTTGATTTTGGATCTATAACACCAACATTTGGTCGCACAGAGTACTTCTTAGGTGAAGTTGTTTTAACCTGCAACACCAAGCCTAAATGTTATTACCACCCAGCATCATATCTCTTGGAACACAATTCAGACTGTCAAACAAAATCAGGTGAAATTCAATTTGAACCTTGAAAGCAACATTTTGGTGGGCGTTGTTGGTAAGACGTATTGAGCATGAGCTTTGCTTCTTCACTTCAACTACAGTAAACATTCACACATTCCATAAGCTTTAAAATCCAATCAAACCAGCACAGCAATTACAAATCCAATTTCCCGAGTCACAAAAACAATTCCCAGATACCGTCCAATGCTACTCTGTCCCAAACCATTAAATTCTTTTAATTATTCAACGAAAACCCAAAAATGATTTTTTTTCCTGTTTCAATTACTGTAAAATGAAACAATACAAGTATGGTTTTTATATCTTCAAAAATACTGCAAGCAAACCTTTTTCTCCAACCAACAACAAAACCCACAACAGATAAGGTAATACAAAGAAGTAGAACGAAATTTCATAATCATAACCCCTCTCATTATCCTCATTAACTAAACAAAGCATAAAAGAACTTTACAGCATTAAAAAAAAATCAAAATTTATATAAACAGAAGGGTAAAAACATATATCAATGGTTCAAGAATAAGTATGAGCTGATAAAAATTGAACATGGGGCCATGAATCATGTATGTCCAAATAATGATTTTATTACTTACAAACAAACTTAAGTTCCTTGGGCTGGATTTCCAAAAGCTGTGTCATGATTTCTTCTTTCTATCAAAATTAAAAGGCAATCTTCATAGCATCCAAAGCTCTATGACTTCTTTGTTTTTCTCTGCATTATGATAAAAAAATAATTAAATATTAATATAGATCAGACCCAACCTACATGCAGAACATTCCCAATCCATACACCTACACCATTTAAACACAACATAAATAAAGTATCTACATTTTTTATGCTTTATATTGATTCAGTGTCACATGATAAAAAAAAATAGAAAATCAATGACTGATTCTATCAATAGTTTAAAAAACAAAAAGGGACGTATAAAATAATAGCAAAAATTAAAGAAAAAATAAGAAAAATCTCAGTAAGTGAAATCAATACCGACTCTGATAAATTATTTTCCTTTCCAATTTTTCATTTAATATTAACGCAGATCGTAATCAAAATCAAATCATTGCACGCATTGAAATTGACTCGACTTACATCTGACTCGGTTAGAATATAACTCAGTCACACACGACATGGTATTGATTCAGGGAGAGAGAGAGAAACGGTTACAGTAAAAACGGAAACATCGAGATGAAAAATGAGTCCAATTCAAATACTCAGAGAACCGAGTCAATATTAGTAATCGCAGTACAAGAAAAACAAAGACGGAAGTCAAAACGAGTCAAGAGAAACGACACCGTTTAGATTCTCTAAATACTCTATATCTTCATCAGCAACAAAAAAGAAATGCGGAATAAAATCATTTCTTCTCCGATTGAGTCCAGAGCAACAGAGCCGACGCCACTCACTGTGTCAAAGCAACACTGTGATCTTCTCCGAAATGAGTCAAAAAAATGACGTAGCGTACAGTCAGAGAGAGAGAGAGATTAGTCAGAGGAAAAATGATGACTGTAGGAGCTGAAAAAGGAGGAAATATAAGATAGAGAAAGGGTATTTCTTGAAATTCGTGTCTTTAACGTTTATTATTTAATTAATTTGGTGTCCTGTTTTAAAATTGATAAAAAAAACAGATAAATTTCCACACCTTGTCAGAGGAAGATGAACCCTATAAATTCTTCGAAACGGTGAGTGAAAGAGTGCTTTTTGGAGTAGATGACGGCGTGTTGCGGTTGAGCTTGCTCGCTTGTTGCAGAGCAGACTATTGGGAGTGAAAGCTAAGTTCTTGTGTCTGAAAATAGAGAGAGAGAGAGAGAGAGAGTGGTGGAGTTGGTTGTGCGTGTATGTATCTTTCTCTGTGCAGCAGGTAAAGGAGACTGGAGAAGGAGGATGGGGAGGAGGAGAAGGAGGAGTATGGGTTGGTGGGTTGGTTGTTTTGTCGCTGATGGAGGTTGTACCGGCCGTTTCGCTTCCTTCCTTTTTTCAGGGGGAGATGTTATGGTAGTGGGGTGGGGCGATTATGTATATGATTGTATTTGTTTAGTTTTAACTCTAATTTAATTTATTTAAAACAATATATTATATGCTGTTTAAGCTTTAATTATTGATATTAATATTTACATCATATATAATAAGAAGGAGAATATTAAAAAAAAAAAAAAGAAGAAGCTGTATTTGAGTTTGTCATGAAGAATGGTTAAAATATTTTTTTAAAAAAATATTTTAATTTTTTTTTCTAGATTTCTCTCTTTTTTTCTATCTTTCTTGTATGAACATCATATAATTTCTCTAATTATTATTTTTTTGTTTTAAGATGATACTTTTTATATTTTAAAAAAAAATTAAAATATAAGAACTATAGAAAAATAACTAAAAAAATCAATTTAATAATTAAAAAAAAAACATTTGAAAATTAAAACAATACCATACCAGGACTGAAATTATGATTTGTATGGTAGGGGTACAATAAAAATAATTAATATATATCATGAAAGCAATCACAAGCCATTCGTTCTGGTGTCTTTTTTACTTCATGCTATAAAAAGATACACATTTCTCACTTTTCTTGACCAAAATAAATCTTCAGCTGAAGGTTTTCTAGATAAGGCAACATCATGACTACTTTTATTGGAATCCCTCTAATTGAATTCCTAGTTATTCAAATTATAATTATGAGATCGGTTTAATAAATTGACCTGTTATTAAGTTGATATAAAATTGTTATTAAGTTGATATGAGATTAAGGTAGTGATTGATATTGTATTTTGAATTTTTTTTAATTTAAATCAATATATTTTTTTAATTATTTTGATATATTGATATAAAAAATATTTTAAAAAATAAAAAAATATTATTTTAATATGTTTTAAAATAAAAAGTATATTTTAAAATAAAAAACAATCATCATCACATCTCCAAACACCATGTTAGCATGCTATAAAACAAGCAAAATTTAAATAAATAATTATTATAATAAATTTTTTAAAAATTATTATTGTTGCATTATCAGATATTTTTTATTCTGACATAAAAGGTGACATTTTTCAAAGCATGCCCTTGAACATTGCAATGCGGGGCAACAAATTGAAAAATTAAATCAAGAGAGGAAAATATCATATGGGACAAAGAGGGAACATGATTTTTATTTTTATGAACAAGAAAATTAACTGAGTAGAATTTATTAGCGAAGATAGAGTAATTAAAAGTTGCATGCGTTATCTTCCATTGCATAAGGGACAAGGGGCAATCAAATCAAAGGTTTTACTCTTACTTGGCTCAATCTTAAACAATCGAGCTTGATGATTTATTTTTTTTAATTATCAACACTCATTAAACTTCATCGTATTAATGTTAAAAAAAAAGATAGAATTGAAAGCCCGTTTTTATATATGTTCCATGTTTATGGTAAGAAATTTGTATTTTTTTTTAACATATAATAAAAATTTTGTTTTGTTTAAATATTTCAAAACAATACTATATTTTTAGAGTGAAAATATTTTTAAAAAATTATTTTAACTTTTTTATTTATAATATATATATATATATATAATTTACACTGATATGATTTTTTTCATATGGTATTTTAAAATTATATTTATATTATTTTAATTTTATTTGCTAACTCAAACTCAAATCAACCCATATAGCTTGAGATCTGTCTCTTCACCAAAATCCAAACAAGTATGCACTCTAATTTTAAATTCTTCTTCTTATACAGATAGAATTGAAAGCCCGTTGTTATATATGTTCCATGTTCATGGTAAGAAATTTGTATTTTTTTTAATATAGAATAAAAAATTTGTTTTGTTTAAATATTTCAAAACAATATTATATTTTCAGAGTGAAAATATTTAAAAAAAATTATCTTAACTTCATTATTTATAATATATATAATTTACACCAACATGATTTTTTTTATGTGGTATTTTAAAACCACATTTATATTATTTTATTTTTATTGGATAACTCAAGTCAACCCATACAACTTCAAATATATCCCTTCACCAAAATCAAAACAAGCCTGCACTCTAATTTTAAATTCTTCTTCTTATAAGCATAATGGTTAATCTAATACTAGTACAGTTAGTAAAAAAAATTAAAAATCAAAATTTGACATGAATTAAATATATTCATCTTATTAAACTTAATTCATCATGCCAAGTTTTTAGTAATCTTGTTGATCATCAAGTCGACATCAATAAAGGTATCTAAAAAAAGACAATTAACCCATTAATCCACTAGTTAACCCAATAATCTAAGTAATCAAAACTTCTTTTCTAATCAATTACAAAATTGATCTCTCAACTATGCTTTAAAGTACTATTTTCAACAAAGCACAATGTTCGATATATTCATCTTATTAAACTTAATTGATTATGCCAAGTTTTTAATAATTTTATTCATCATCAAGTCAACATCAATAAAAAAAAATGATATATGAAAAAAAGACAATTAACCCATTAATCCACTAGTTAGCCCTATAATCTAAGTAATCAAAACTTCTTTTCTAATCAATTACAAAATTGATCTCTCAACTATGCTTTAAAGTACTATTTTCAACAAAGCACAATGTTCTATTTAGCAGTGTAGTGTAATTGAAACTATGTTTTATCTAAATCATAATCTTAAAGATATCTAATTAACCAATATGTATCATAATCTTGCATATATCCCACTAAAAGCTACCTCCTCAAACTTTGATTTTTTTTTTTTTTAAAGTATTTTTTTCAAACAGCAACGTACGACAGTGCAAATCATCCGCTAATTTTGTGTTCTTTATTCCTTTCACATGGAGCGTGTAAGGATTTTGTCTGTGATGGTATGCTTTTGTCACAGACGTATCCATCCACTTAGAATAATAAATGCTTGCTTTCCACCGCGCAGCGAACCTCAACTTTTGAGAGAGAGTGCTGATCTGCCTGTCCCACTCCATTTGACAAAACTTTGGATCTCTCCTGTGGCCCGTGCAAGATTTTAAATATTCTTCTCCTTTTTCTTTATTTTTAATGATGGCAAAGTCAATCTCCTTTTCTTTTCTCAGATTACTTACCGAACCTTTTTTACCGGGGCTTTTTAGGACCATAGTAAAAATTATTTTTTATTTATAAATATATTGAAACAATTAATTTTTATTTTTAATATTTATACATCAAGATAATTTTAAAAATACTCTTGAAAGACTCACCAATATAGTTTTTGCCGCTGTCCATAAAATAATAAATCTAAACTCAATAAGTTTTTTAGTTTTTTGTTGATTTTAAATTTGTAAATCGATTTTTAAATCATTTTATGCTATATATCAGTTTATTAAAATGTGTAAGTTTCTTTCATGAGTGTTTTCGAATCAAAATTGGATTGATAAATGGTTTTCTATATGAAAAAAAAAATCCAATCCAATTTTGTGGCTGCCATTATGGTCAAATATTAAGAAAAGCAGCAATGCATCACTTGACTTCATTTCTATCAAAAAAAACAATATAGGGTTGATGATATTTTCTCTACCTTGTTTTCGAGTAAAAATAACTATACCCCCGTGTAGGCTACTTTAAAAATGGGTTTGATAAGTAAGTTTAACTTGTCAATCTAAAAATATTTAATTATTTTTTATATATATTTTATTTGATAAGTTAGTTTAACTTGTCAAGTTTAAAAATATTTAATTATTTATATATATATATATATATATATATATTTCATAAAATCATGTTTGTTTTTATTGGTATCTTTTTCTTACATGTGATTTTTAAAACAATTTTTTTAATTTACATTTAAATTAATTCTTTTTTTTTTTTACTTTTTAGATTGTTTCTTTAGCTTTTTGAAAAAAAATAGATCACTACCAGAAATTCGCTAAATAGCAACGGATTTACCGACGGAATATTTCTGTCGGTAATTTGAGGTTGAAATTACCGACGATTATATTATGTTCGTATTTCAGTCAGTAGTTACTGACTGAATTATGGACGGAAACGTCATCGTCGTAAAAAAAACGAGTCGCTAACGTGGAGGTTTTGACGGGTTATTTTTTTAGATGGAATCACCGACAGATTTAAAAATACAGGTCGTACAGCGACCGCCGTTTATATTGCCGACGGATTTGAAATGACAGATTCATACAGTGACGTGTTGATTGTTCCATCGGAATCATCGACGGTGTCACCAATGGATTTTCTGTCTGTGAAACCGTCAAGAAAACTCAATATATATACATGCTGCCGACCTTCTTGTCCTCTATTTCTCCTTTTTCTTCCTAATCCCAACTCTCCCCATCTGCAAACAACCACCCCCCACCCCCCTTCCCCCAACAAAAATCTCCCTCATATCAACACAATAAGTTATATTTCTTGAAGTTTTGTGGACACAGTATTCGTGTTCTGATTTACCGACGAATTTTATCAATTTTTATAAGTAATTCTTTCTTTTTAAATCTTAACATTTAATTAAATGTCAATTTTATTGTTGTTTTAGTATGTGTATTTTGTTAGTAAATGTACATGTTTTATTGTTATTTCTCAAGTAAACTTGTAGTGTATAAATGTATAATTCTATACCTGTCATGGTTTGTTTAAGATTTTGTAAGATTGTATTTGTTTGTAAATTATTAAAACTTTATGGAACTATCGAAGTACATGTGCAGTTTTGAAATAATTAATAGCTTACTTATTGGGTCCGTTTAAAGTTTTGTCAATGGTATTGCTGTAAATTTATATATTTTAATTTGTATGGACGTTGATAAATGGTAATGAATTTTTAATATTTATGAGAAGTTGTGATTGGTTTGTTGGATAATCTAGAGGTAAAGTAATATTTTTGCAAGTTTATTTACCTAACTTAGTTAATTCATATATTATGTCATCATGATTTTATAGATGTTCAATATAAATCATGGATGATCGTTCATGGATATATCGAGATTCACC